CTCCATGAATCCTAGAAAAACCGTTTTTCAAACGATACAGAAGTCACTCAAGATCCGCCTAGTGGTCCAGTCAGTCAGTCAGCTACAACGTAGGACCAGGCACATGTGTGCATCGGTCCAGGTTGCCATACCGCATCAGCGCAACAAAATGAACACCGGATTCATAACAGTGGTTAGGTAAAAGGTGGTAATATATAAGAGAAAGATTGCATATAGAGATATAGTACAAGCAGAAAGAATTGGTTCGTAGAAAGAAAGATATGAAGCGATTTTAATCTCATAGTTTAAGGGAAGACAGGGAGTGTATACACCTACGCCACTGTGATCGATTCTGAGCCATGTCACCAAGAGTCTCCAACCATTGGCTACGATAGTCACGCGGACCCCAACCAAGTAGTCTGCATCTACCAACATGGCTCAGACTAGAAGTTAGTGACTTCAAGCACTGATGCCACGTTTTGGTTTGGCCGCCCCTAACTTTCTTCCAACCATTTCCAATACCGGATAGCATTGTACGTCGTGGTAATCGGTATTCAGGCATGCGTAACACGTGGCCCAACCATCTCAGTCGATGAAGATTAACAACCTCATCAACTGATTTACCATCCTTTCCTAATACCCTGCGTCTAACCTCACTATTACTTACCCGGTTATCCCAGCAGACGCCAGCAATATTTCTAAGGCATCTGTGGTCAAATACTAGTAGCTTACGAGTATCTTCTACTCTTAATAGCCATGTTTCGCTGCCGTAAATTAAAACAGAACGGACTGCCGCGCAGTATACTCGTCCTTTTATTGATAGACGGATATCTCGCCTTCGCCAAAGGTGACGTAAGTTGGCAAAAGCCAAACGAGCTTTTCGAATCCGTGCTGAGATTTCGTCCGATACCAACCCATTAGGGCTTATCAGACTTCCAAGATAAGTGAAGTTGTCAACGCGTTCGACTACTTCACTCCCTATCCTTAGCTCAGGTGTTAACGCAGATCAGTCCTGAAGCAACAACTTGCATTTCGAGGGAGAGAAGCGCATTCCAAACATCTTTGCATTGTTGCTTAGTGCTATCAAAAGACTCTGCATTTTGTCAGCGTCTTCACCAAACAGGACTATGTCATCTGCGTATTCTAAGTCGATAAGTGGACCTCCTGGATGGAGATCAATACCCGAGAATTCGGTCGACGAGAAAGTTATTTCCATCAGTAGATCTATGATGAAGTGGTGATCCAGTACTCTCCATTTCTGAAACATGCACGGCAATGGATTCAAACTGCATTATCGCCGAAACAGCATGTGCAGACAGTGACTTATCCAGCTCACAAACAGACGCCCTGACAAATGTTCATAGAATTGTCGCGATAACTCCCCATGAAACAGAAAACAAATCGAGCAGTACACTGAATACAAATGCTCCAAATGGATCTCATCATTCTGCGACAGAAGTTTCTGATGAATCTTATTATCGAGATTCTCTTTTACCAGAAAACAAGTCAGATGCATCAAATGATCAGAAACCTAATACGATTTTGATAGATGCTGATTACCTTAATGATCCATTATCTACAAATGAGGCTCCCAATAAAATTGATAACAATATTTCAGAAGATTCAAACTCTGATGACCTCGATTTAAATGGCGTTTATCCTCACTATCTGGTCAATTTTACTAGATTCTCTGTTCAATATGTTTTGAATAAAGTCAATTTAATTGTGACTTGAGTATATGAGGACCCAATATTTCGCGGGGAGGATGAACTCGGAAAATTTAAAATCCGGATATCAACTCCGTATCTTCAAAAAAGGGAGGTGTGTTATATCCCGACAAGGATAATGAATGGTAACTTTTTCGATCCATTTATGGACCACCACTATGAGTATATTTCGTATCGTATAATTGTTAAGTAACTAAGCTATTCATGTTCATGTTCCTCCTATTAGAAGCTTTATTTTGACCCACAGACTAGTATTTTGCGATTTACCATTCTTAGGTTATGCCCAGTCTTTTAATTACAGTCTCGCACATTCACAGACATTTTTGGCTAAATCTTGTACAATTGTTATTTCCTATTTTATGGACATATTATTCATTCTCAATCCAGGAGATTGGATCGATGGGCAGAACACTTTAGGGATCAGTTCAACTGGCCTTCAGCCACACTTCGGTTTCCCACGATCTCCAGTCAACCTGAATGGCAAGTTAATGTAAGTCCTCCGTCTCTTTATGAAGTTGAAAAAGCCATAGGAAATCTGAAACGAGGGAGAGCAGCAGGCCCTGACAGGTTTACTCCTGAGATTTTTAAGGATGGTGGTCCAGTATTAGCAATGAGATTAACCGAGGTCTTAGGTAGAATTTGAGAACTGGACGTAATCCCATCTGACTGGTCTCAATCACTGATTGTGCCAGTTTATAAGAAAGGACAAAAGTCCTCTTGTGACAATCACAGAGGAATCAGTTTGACTAATATAGTGTCTAAAATATTAGCCTCAATAATACTTCGACGCCTAATCAAAGCTCGTGAAGAGCAGACTCGAGAAAATCAGGCTGGTTTTCGACCTGGACGTGGTTGTATAGATCAGATATTCACACTACGTCAGGTTCTAGAACACAGACACACGTTTAGACGCCCGACAATGGTAGTATTTCTCGATCTTAAGGCGGCATTCGACTCTGTTGATCGTAAGGTTCTATGGCAGTGTTTGTCACTGAAAGGAGTACCAAAGAAGTACATTAACCTTATTCAGGCTCTCTACTCGAACACAACTGGTAGAGTGAGAGCTTATGGCGAACTGTCATCAGAATTGATTACCTCAAGTGGTGTTCGTCAGGGCTGTCCACTCTCCCCATTCTTGTTCAACTTTGTGGTCGACGTACTTTTAGAGATAACACTCTCCTCATCTAAATTTCCGGGGGTTGAACTTCTACCGGGAGGTTCACTTGTTGACTTAGAATATGCAGATGACATAGTTTTATTTGGTGAAGACGCTGACAAAATGCAGAGTCTTCTGACCACTCTAAGCAACAATGCAAGCATGTTCGGCATGCGATTCTCTCCCTCGAAATGCAAAATGTTGCTTCAGGATTGGGTTACATCGACACCCGAACTAGTGATAGGGAGTGAAGTAGTTGAGTGTGTCGATCGCTTCACTTATCTTGGAAGTCTCATCAGCCCTTGTGGTCTGGTGTGTGACGAAATCTCAGCACGGATACAGAAGGCTCGACTAGCTTTTGCCAACTTGCGTCATTTATGGCGTAGACGAGATATCCGTCTACCAACCAAAGGACGTGTTTACTGCGCAGCAGTTCGTTCCGTCCTACTTTATGGCTGTGAAACATGGCCGGTAAGAGTAGAGGATATTCGTAGGTTACTAGTATTTGATCATAGGTGTCTTCGAAGTATTGCTCGTATATCCTGGGACCACCGAGTAAGTAACGCAACTGTTAGGAAACGGGTACTAAGTAAGGATGGCAAATCAATTGATGAAGTAGTGAAACTTCATCAGTTGAGATGGCTGGGACACGTGTTACGTATGCCCAACCACCGACTACCTCGACGTGCTATATTCAGTGGTATAGGAGTAGGTTGGAAGAAAGCTAGGGGCAGCCAGACCAAAACATGGCACAAATCCATGAAGTCACTGACAAGTGGACTGAGTCATGTTGGTAGGTGTAGACTACCTGGTTGGGGACCGCGAGATGATAGCAACCGATGGTTAGAGACCCTGAATGACATGGCTCAAAATCGTTTGCAATGGCGCAGGTGCATCCACTCTTTGTGTTCTCCCAAATTCTAATCTTCTGAATTCTTCATATCCCTTTCCTTTTCCTCTTTCCAAATTTATTTCACTGGATTATACTCGTTAAATAACATCTCCAAACCCTAATCTTCCCGATTACTGCTTATACTCTTGCTACCTCTACGACTACGGGATTTGAATCGACCACTGCATCTCTGTGCTAATGTGGTATGGCAACTCGAACTGATGTACGTACGTACTAAGTTCTACGTTGTTACTGACTGACTGATTTTATGGTACGATGTGGTCTGTTTGGTTTGTATATAAACCCAATATGTTTGAAATGAACTATTCATATCGCGGAGGCTGTGATTGGACTTAACATGCAGGGTTAGGCAGGAAAAAATACCGATAAAGACTTTAGACTGCTCGTATGGGTTTTATGCGCCATTGGTTCGGTTCATAAATCACTGTTCTCTAATTGGCGGTATCATTGCATCATATGTTGATAAGGACACAAGGTCACAGGTTATAACAGTTATCTTGATTAATTGCTTCTTTTAAATGAAGTCATACAAATAAAATAGTAATAACCTATCACTGATATTAATCATTGTCTTATTGTCTAGTTTCTTTATGTTGAATAAATTCAATTGTTGATTAAGTTTTCAGTAGGATTACTAGAATCAGTGAATCAATGTCGAATTAGTTATTAATTAATGTCAAACAGTTAGACTTATCAGCGAAATGGATAGTGGCTGGCAGTGGAACTCAGGACGCGCGTCTCGTCCTCTTTTGGAATCGTCAGGTAGATGTATCTGCATTTCAGAATTGATGTTCAATCTGGGGCTCGAACTGAGTACCGTTCACTTCAAACGCCATCGTGTTAGCTACTGAAGTAAATGGTACTGGGTTCAAGTCTCAGAGTGAACATTAACTCAGACGCAGGTAAATCTACCTGACGAGCCCCAAACAGGACGAAACGCGCGTCCTGGATTCCACCGCTAGCCATTATACATCTTTTTTTAGAATGTATAGTTCTATAGAATAACTTCGTTTATCATCTCCAATATGAATCATTCCATCATTCAATATGCAGTAAAAGTGATATAATATGGAACTTCTACTCATCTTAATCTATAAAATTTAGAATAATCAATATTTAAGATTTACAATGTAATTAAAATTTTACATTCAGCAATTAAAAATAATGAAAACAAAAAAAGGAACTAGTCTCCATCAATAATAAAGTATACTTTAAAACATTCCAAGTAAAACTGACGATAAAAGATATATATATATATATATATATATATATATATATATATATATATATATATATATATATATATATATATATATATATATATTAATTCCAAAATTTCGATTTGTTCTTCCATCTATGAAAAGTGCTTATTACTTTGACAAAAAGGTTTTGTTTTTCGGCATCAAAATCTTTTGTGATATTAATTTAACTACTGTTGTATTGTAAGTAGTTAAAACTGTTTGTTCAATTTACTGTGCTAAATAACACTACTACATCGTTATAAGTTGTTTCAATAGTGCAATGAGAAATTGTATTTGAAAATTTAACAATAAAATACAACGAAGCTAATTATTAAAATTCTTATTTCTGAGATTTTTAATATTTCTGTCAGATTAATGAATATTGTGTTGGAAATTCTGGTGTATCTCTACAATGATTTGATGGAATATTATTTGAAGCATCCTCTTCATCATTTATTTCATTTCGATGTATATTAATTCTATCGGTTAATGATCTAGAAAAAAATTCTGTTGTTATACAATCTGTTTCATTCAAATCTAAATTAGTATATGTTTGTGTATAGTATGAATTATTTGCTTTCTCAGACATTAAATAAAATGGAAATTTAACAATATCTGTAGGAACTTCTGGTAGATTAGTTGTTAAATGAGATGATTGAAAAGAGGGTGAAGAAGATGATGATGAAGAAGAAGAAGAAGGTATAAAATATGACATATATGTTCTAGATAAATCATTATTTGACTGGAATCCATCTTTATAATTATCTTTATTAAATACAGGTTCATTATTTAACAAAGAATCTTGTTCAATATGACCATATATTGTATTTGTTTCATTACATGGAATTTTTGCCATTAATTCAGATCCAGAAAATTTTGATAATCTTCCTTGATCAATATTTCGATTTATATTTGATAAAGCTTTAATATCTGATGTTGAATCCATAAAATTTAAGGAATCACTTATTGTAGAAGTTCTATTCGATAATCGATTTAAGTATTTATTCGAAAGATTTGAATTTGTCGGCAATATAAATGAAATTCCGGATTCATTATTGTTGAATGTGGTAAATGATGGAGATGAAGATGATGAAAATGATGTTGATGAATTATATAGTTCATCTTTACTATCAGTTATTGTAGAATTGTCAATATGTTCAGTAGATTTCTTCATTATTGTTGGCGAATCATGATCTAATGTGGGTATTGAAGAACAGTCTGTTATTAACTTTGTAGTATCTGAAACAATGCAAAAGAATTAAGGAAAAATAGATCATCGAAACACAAACAATTGATATAGGAATATTGAATAAGTTTGTAAGAATTTTCTTATACTCTATAAAGTGAGTAGTAACAGCCGATGTTTAGGGCTTAGGTTTGAACATCTAGAATTGTTGAAAAGTATTAAATCGTTCATTATTTAGTATGCTTAGTGTTATGTAAATATATCTTACAACTTCCATAAAATAATACATCATTGTAATAGGTTTGAATATGAAGTAGTTAAAGGTAATCAGCAAGAAATTTGGGACCTAGTTTTTGTGGAAGCTAACACTTATCCATAATGAGTATATACGATCAACCTTAAAGCATCACACTTCTTGTGGTGTCCGGAACGCTCTTGTCGGCCCTTGAAAATCCAAGCAAGGTAGCATAATTTTCGTGGCAGGCCGTACTCATATCCTCAGAAGGTCTCAAAGGTGAACGGAAAAATATATTCCGCAACTAGCCAGAAGCACGAGCGATAACAACAGACACAAATTAAACATATATATACAGCATAAAACTGTCATTGGGAAGCTTTACAAAATAGCATACTAAAATATACAACGGACCAATAGTGTTAAAGATTCTCCCAAGTGGGAAATACGACATGAAGGTGAGAAGAGCGTTTTTGGCGCAAAAACAGAGAACTTCGAATTCTAAAAATAAAATTACAAAATTAAGGTATTTCCCAATTGAGTTGTGGAAATCTAACATCCTCAACAGATGAGAATTTCCACATAGTTTATACTATGAATTCAATGAATTCTTGGGAATAGAATTTATCTGCAAGTGTTGGGGGATCCAACTATCTTACAAGAAAGCACAATTTTTTAACTATACAGTAAATATTCTTATGTGAATAATGATATATATATATCAGTATAGAGTTGTGGAGATTGTTGAGTTTTAAATTGAGTGGATCAATGTTAAACCACCATTGAAAACCTGGATGCACCCACGATATTGTGCAGCAGTTCATTATTGTCTTCAGTGAGTAACTGCTACATATTAACAGTGGTCTAGAGACTAAACGTTCACGAGCTAGACTTTGATTCGAATCCCGTATATAAGATCGTGGATGAGCACTGTTGTAGAGTCCTATACTAGGACGAAACGGCGGCTCAGTGCTTCCGAGTTTCCAATGGTGGTCTAACATTGATTATTTCATAATATATATCTTCGAATTCTGTATTGTTTTTGCAACTAAGAAAAAAATGGACTATCAAAGGAAACAAACATATTTGCATTCTTTTTGTTAAGTTCACTTTGTTTATATTTTCCATGAAATATAATCCAATTTTCCTACAATTGTATAGTTACAAATCGTTTCCGAATTTATATACATAAATCACGTCATTCATTCATATGTATATTAATTCTGACTTGTATTCAATGAATTTAAATATAAGAAAAATTAGATTAGCTTTATCATAATTTACATGTATCCGGTCGTGACAACCCTTTATTGTAATCTCAAATCATTGTTTTCATTATTGAAAACATTAACCAATATCTATCTATGTATCTATCTGTCTACACATCCTTCGCCCTCTCTCTTTCACTCATTCACACACATACAAACACACACACACGCGACATTCGCTATTTTGTACGTTAAATTTTAAAAAGAAAAAGACTAAATATAACGAGAAAAAAAAGAAAAGAAAAGAAACAATAATAAAACCAATTTTTTTCGTTTTCTCTCAATGTTTCCTTTTAGAATCATTAACACGAAAAATAATACTACTCATTATGACTGTAATTTGAATAATTTATAAATACAAATGAAAGGAAATGATGTAAGTTTGTCTGTTCCCCTTTTAGTATACTCTTTTTAATTATTGTTTATTTTGTAGAATAGATGAATTGTGGGTAACAATAGAATCAAGGATATATAGATTCTGTCTTATTTAGGAATTATCAGAAAGAGTTTTATGGAGATTTTTGTGGTCTGGTATTTAAGCGTGCGAGCGCTTAACTGATAGGTTCTGGGTTTGATGTGCACAGCTGAAGAGTTCCATATTAGGACGAAACGGCCGTCCAATGCTTCCAGGTTTTCCATGATGGTCTTGCTTCGATTGATTCATGATTTTAACTATTGAAATTATTTAAAAAATTATCATCTAGATGTTCCTGCATCTCATTGTTCATGTTTACATTTTAACATAATTTATCTATTCTATAAAATTTTATCAAATCAATTCTCAACAGACATATATTAACAATGATTGACTAAGATTCAGTTATGAATACATGAAGCTGAATAAAGAAGATAATAATATTGTTCATTTAGTTATTATAATCTAGGTAGTTTAGATTGTTGAATTTTAGAATGAACATCCTAAACCAAAACACCTTGGACTATTGTTCAGACCCAGTATGAGACTCTTTACTAATGGCGATCAATGATTCTAATGTGGATCAATTCTAAGGATTTCAAGTCACTAGGTGAACATTTAGACTACTGAGTTGGGATTCAAAGGTTTATTTGTTTTGCTACAAGTTGTACAATCACCTTCTAGGTAACTGTTACACATTCAAGATGATTAAACTCCACTGCTCAAGATTTCTTCTGAAATTACCACTTGAATAAGTTACTAATGAGCACATGACTGTTACAATTATATAAGTGAGGTTGTGAATCCTCACTGCTTAGGATTAGCACATTAGGTTGAAACAGCTATCTAATACGTTTTTATTTCCATTAGTTACCTAACTAAGATTAGCCTGTGATGTTGATCACATCATTTATTAATTAAATTCTTTTAAGCAAAATGAAGCTGTGACCAGTGGAGGCAGTTTCTCACTGAAAACAATGATGGACGGTCGAGCAATATCGTGGATTGGTTGAAGTAAAACTTTAACACCGTCGGATGCCAGCTCAGTGGTGTAGAGGTTAAGCGTTCGCGAGCGAGACTAAAAGTCCTGGGTTCGAGTGCCACGTGTGAGACCGTGGATGTGTACTGCTGAGGAGTTCCATAGGAGGACAAAATGGCCGTTCAGTACTTGCAGGTTTTCGATCATTTAACATTGATCCATTCATAATATCAATCTAAACTCAACGGTCTACATAACCCTATAGTCATAAAATGAAATACAACAGAAACACAATGAAATGATGCAAAAAACTAGCGATAAATAGTTAATTAAATCCACTAGCATGTCATGTATTTCATTATCATAAACTAGTAAAAGTTATTCATAATTCTTTGTTGAATTACGCTTTATTCAATAGTTCAAAATCTTATTATTTAATACGTCACTCAAAGACATCGTCAACAAACTGTTCAAACTAATTAGACTTTTGATTGAGATCATGAACCGATTGATGTTAGACCACCATTGAAAACCTGGGAGCACTGGACGGCCATTTCGTTCCATTGTGGAACTTCTCAGCAGTGCGCATCCACGATCCCGCTCGCGAGATCTCAATCAAAAACTTAATGATCTCCACAACCCTATACTGATAATCAGACTTTAATACATTTATTTGTTGTTATCAGTGAAATAATATGTAGAATATTGTGTATTAATTAAATACCATTGTTCAAGATTTCAAGATCTATCACTAGAAAATATGTTATAACATTTTAGTATAATGCATATGTTACTTCATAAGCACTGAGGATGGAGAGCTGATGCATCATTGGAATAGTTTATCATACGAATGCCTCAGCGTTAATGTTCCTAATAAGTGTTTGCTAATATACATTTAAGTACCCTACATGACTATCATTTTTCATGAGTTTTAATGATTTTGAAATTTTAGATTCAATGATTACTGAAAATCTTGTTTAACTATCAATTATACAGAATGAATTCAGACAACGTCTAGTAAGTATGACGCTCAATGTTCGGCGCCCTATGCTCTGTTGAGAGCAACATGCGTAAGTAAGTAAGTAACTATCGTTTCGTAATTTGCTCACAAAACAGAGGTTAGTCAAACCTAAACAAAAACAATCAGTAAGCATTACAACATTATAACACTAACCTGTACATTTCATTTCGAAATTCTGTAATCTATTTTTACGATGTACATTAATGTGCTCTTTTCCTATCAATTTGTTTTTATGAATTGGTGTACTTGAGATTAATTTTAACGATGATGATGATGATGATGATGATGTGAACAATTGTGGTCGTGTTACTGTATCTGTCATTACTGTAGTTGTTTTCTCTACTATTGTTGTTGCTATTATCGGTATTGAAATAGAGGATGATGACGATGATGATGTTGATGTTGAAATGGATAATGTTTCTACAATTTCATTCATATCATTTCTATGAGATGTATTATTATTAATTATTAATCCATTATAATTTTTAAACATTTCTGGTCTTAATGTTGAACACTCTATGTTATCCAATTGATTCTTTTCATCAATTTGATTTACATTCTCATGATGTACATTAAGACTTTGTGATAATTTATAAGAAAGAAAATTCTGATGTTGTTGTACATAATCAGAATATTTCTCTGGATCATGTGTATGATTATTATCATGATGATGATGATGATGACGATGTTGATGTTGATGATGATGATGAAGATGAGGAAGAGATGATGAATGTTGTGTAATTGTATTTTGTTGATGTGAAAACTCAAAATTCAAATGACCTTGTTGTTCACTTTCTTCTTCTTCTGCTTGTTGTTGTTGTTGTTGTTGGATATGAAAATTTTCAATTGTATCATTAATCAATAAATTTAAGTTCTTATTTTTCCCACCAAATGTATATCCATTTCCATATAATGTATTAAAACCATTTGATGCTGCCATTGTTAAACCTAATAATCCAGTTATACTATAATCAGTTGATAAACCAATATGATTAGAACCATTATTGAAACATGTTAAATCATTTAATGTATTCATATTTGATATAGATTGTTTACTGACAGATTTTTGTACTAAATAATTTGTAATACTACTATTATTATCATTATTAGTAATATTATAATCATCAGTATTATTTGTATTAGTTAATGTAGGATATAATTGATTACACATAGAACGTTGAATATATTCATCATGAATATAATGATTATGTAATAATCTTTCATCATTGATAGTATCCTTATTTAATTTATTACATATATTGTTTGGCAATGTATTTATAATTTTTGGCAATGTAATATCTTTAATATCATTAATAGTAGTAGCAGTAGTATTAGCAGTAGTATTAGTAGTAGTATTAATAGTTTTATTATAATTAGTTAAATAATTTCTTTCATCTATTTCATTCATTTCTTCAATAAATTTAAAATTTAAATTATTTAATTGATTTTTAAATGATTCACAATTTTCTGATGAAATCACATTTGATAAATTTGAATTTACCGCTTGATTTAAATGTTCAATAGTTTCGCCATAATTTCGATTAAAATATGGTGTAAATTGTGAATATTGCAATGAATTAATGGCATTATTATTATTAGGAAATGTATAAGAAACTTCTGGATAACTATTATTATTATTATTACTATTACTATCATATATCCTTCCATTTATTGAACTATTAAACATTGTTGGTGAATGATGAAAACGTTTTATATCGGAATTTAAAAGATTTGAAGTTGTTTTATCTGTGAACATTAATTGTTTAAACGATGATCTTACTGAATGAGATGATGTATTAGATTTTGTTGTTGTTGTTATTGTTGTTGCTAAAGTTCCTATTGATGTTGATCTACCTCCAACTACTGATAATGTTATTGGACTATGATTTATATAGTTTTCTTGTCCAAAATCGCATAGTTTAATTGATTTTGGTGAAGAATCAGTTTGAAGACTTAAAGGTGTTGTTGCAGGTGAATCATGATAATTTGAATCTTGACTTAATTGAGTTTTATTTGTCGGTGATGTATTATGAATATGACGATGACCACGTTTTCTAGATAATACATTATGTGGTTCCATTGAAGTTTGATTATCCTATGTCAGTTAGATAGGAAAAAACAGTAACAAGTTGTTTGTTTAGAGAAGAATTTTGAAATTTAGACTGAAATGATATCAGGACAGACGTTCATCAACATTTAAATGATGATATGGAGTGTAGTTAATGTATATTCAGATCACTTCACTTAACTAGGAAGTTTCATCAGTCCTAGTGGATTGTCATCTGACAAAACCTCGAGTTGGATTCAAAAAGCTCACTTGGCTTTTGGCGATTTGCATCACCTGTAATGTGTGTACACCATCCGTCTGCCAACTGAAAGACGAGTATACTGTCCTGTAGTTCTCTCTTTTTTATTTTGAAGTTATGAAACCTAGTCATTAAAAATACGGGGATATTCGTGCATTACTAAGGTTTGTTAACAAATGCATTCAAAGTATTTCTCACTTATGTTGGGACAATTATGTTAACAATACTGATGTTAGACGTAAAGTACTAGGTAAAGTAGGCTAATTGATTGCTGAGATTATGAAACTTCATCAGTTGATATGGTTGGAGCATATACGTTAAATTATCAGAATATTAGTAAATTTATGAGATGTTGTATCAATCACATTGAAGAAAGTGGGATTTTTTTGGCTCAAAGTTCAAAATGTCTGCCAACTATTGACCGGGGAATGAATAATTTGAAAAAGAATCCAGGTCATTGACGAACACTACTTAAAAATCAATTTCTAGAAACCCACTTATAATACAATTTCACGTATTTGTTATAGTTAAATTTTGATGTGTTTTCGTCAATGTACAATTACAGTCTTAATTCTGTAGAAATTCTCTTTTCATTTTGATGATTATCTGTTCATTCTAATTTCATACATTAATGGTAAATATGACATAAGAAAAGTAAATATGATGACTAAATTACTCCTTTAAGTATAAATACAGTTGTATGCAACAAATGGAGGAGAATTCCACTAGATTACAAATGGATTAAAACTAAGACATTCAAAATAATTGGATTCCAACAAGCTGACGTAAAAATACTATACTTTCTCGAAACAAAAACAGTCAACATTTCCAATTCCAACCCAGTGTAAAATATTTAATTACTTATTTGTACCTATTACCTCTCGTCAAGGAGTATAAGGCCACACACCAGAATTCACCATCGAAATTTGTCCTGGGCAATTCTTTCCAGTTGTTATTCATCCTTTTAATGTCTGTTTCGAATTCTCGATGCAATGTGTTCTTTGATTTTCCTTATTTCCGTTTTCCCTCAGGATTCAAGGTTAGCGCTTGTCTTGTGATGCAGTTTGGTGATTTCCGTAATGTATGTCCTATCTAACTTCACCGTCTTTACCCAATTTCCTCTTGAGCTGGAATCAGGTTTTTCCTCTCCCACAGTAGGTTGTTACTCATGGTATGCAGTAAACGGACTTTGATTATCTTGTGTAAGCAAATGTTTACAAATACTTGTGCATTTTTGACACGATGGTTGTGGTAGTTCTTCAAGTTTCAGCTCCATGCAGTAGAACTGTCTTGACGTTCGTATTAAAGGTTCTGATTTTGATGTTGGTTGACAGTTGTTTTGAGTTTAAGATGTTCTTCAGTTTTAGGAATGCCGCTATGGTGTATGTATGAACTAATGATTCCTTTGTACTTGATTACTGCTTTATTTCGAATTCCAAATACAATTTATTCGTTTGTTATCATCTATTTCTTTATGGTCTAAATTGCGTTATTTTTGAGATTCCTAGTTTGTATAACAATGCAAATACTTCTAATTATCATATCCACCCTACATCAGATACTCCTTGTTCATCACTGATGCTGCCCAGAAATGTGAAAGTTCTCATCTCTTCCAAGCTTCTCCATGAAGTGTGATTGGGATGGTGTTCTCCGTGTTGTATTTGAGGATCTTGGCTTTTCCCTTATGCATGTTAGAGTATACTGATGCAGAGGCTGCTACTACACTGGCTGTCTTGACCTGCATTTGCTCGAGTGTATGAGTTAGAAGAGCTAGGTCATCTGCGAAGTCCAGATTGTTAAGTTAAATTCAAGCTGTCCATTGCATTTCATGCTTCTCCTGAGATGTAGAGATCTTCGTAATCCAGTCGATGGCCAGAAGAAAGAGAAAGGGTGAGAGTAAGCGGATGAGCCGATGCTCAATGTCCGTTGACTGCATACCATGAGTAACAACCTACTGTGGGAGAGGAAAAACCTGATTCCAGCTCAAGAGGAAATTGGGTAAAGACGGTGAAGTTAGATAGGACATACATTACGGAAATCACCAAACTGCATCACAAGACAAGCGCTAACCTTGAATCCTGAGGGAAAACGGAAATAAGGAAAATCAAAGAACACACACCATCGAGAATTGGAAACAAACATTAAAAGGATGAATAACAACTGGAAAGGATTGCCCAGGACAAATTTCGATGGTGAATTCTGGTGTGTGGCCTATATTCTTCCACGAGAGGTCATAGGCATAAGTAAGTAATAAAGAAATAAATATATTTAAAAGCACTTCAATCATGTGACAATAATTTACAATAAACATCCAAATACAAATGTAGGTAAAAATACTTTTATAAGATAATGTTGTACTATTTAGTACTATATCAACCGCAAACGGGTTATTCTTGATTCCAAACAGACCTTTTTATTCATTCTCTTAGAGTCACGTTTGACCTTGTCACTTATTCGCTTATTAATTTTGACTGGTTTTATATGAGCATATGTGTGTGTATTGTGTACTCTATTCATCTCATGTCTTTAGCTTAGTTCTTCTCTCTATAAATGTTGAGTTACGTTTTATCAAAACGAGTTGTCTAACTCGCCTTCTTGGCTTCACTTTGATTAACTACTTTTCATTACGAGTTTCTGTCTAGATAAATAAGTACTTGAAATAAGTTCATCCAACTCAACCCGTTTTTGTCTTCTTGTTACTGCCGTCATACAAACAAGGTTAGCCTATGTGATACATGGAGTTAAATGAAAGATCTAAGTTCACAGAATATTTATACGTTCATCTAAATTCGGATCAGATCAAGGGGTCACAAAAATGGAATGTAATCAATACATAAATTGTACTTTTTTGTTTCATCTTATACTAACTTGCCTTATTTCTAACAATACGATTAATTGATGATACAGATGGTACATTTTCTACTGTACATATTTGATCCTTTAATAGACGATCACGTATTTCCCATGCAAACATAGTTGGATTATCCTCTTTATATTTGCAGATAGCTTCAACAACGGATGCCGTTGCAACTTTTGGCTTTGATCCACCAATAACACCAGGTCGTATACTTCCAGTTTCATAATACCTAAATAAGTAAAAATACAGTATAAATTATAAAACATTCAATAAGTATCAGGTAACTGGATATTAATTTCCGATTACATCGAAGATTATGTTCATATGAAAACAATTTCTTACAACATAAAAACATTGTAATGGTAATTGTTTACATTTTTCCGTAGAAGTTAACCACTGTATTTGATCAATCACTGTTGATATATATATTCGATCTGAGTAGATTCCCCAAACAGTGTCATTTAGTTGTAAGCTTTCATTTAATTCATGATTAGTAATGACTAGCAGTTGAATTCAAGATGTTAGTTCCATTGTATTTGAAACTCGTCATTTGAATGTACCTATTTCTCAATATTGAGTTTCACAGCGATTTTTGTAAATAGATGTCATTATTAAGAGCATCCATTTAGAATGTAGATATGCCAGTTGAGATTCATCAATTGCAAACCAACAAAGTCTGTCATGTTTAAACAAATGTAATTATTGATCATTATATCAATTTACGACATTAGTAAATTGCCGATTAACTAAAGTTAGGAATGGGAATCTTTATAAAGCAGTCATTAACGTAAGTGACTTGAAATCGTGGCACATTTCTTTTTATTTTAAGTGATCGATATCAGTCAAATAAAAATGTTCTGATGTTGAAATGGTTTACGTTCTTAAAAGGAAAATTTATATTATACACTAGTATGCTACTTAATTTATATTTGAGCAGTGTAAGACGAAACTTCTTTATGTATTAAATAAACTATTAGATAGCAAAAGTTAAATGCCTTGAGTATACAACCATCGATAACTCAGTTTCAAGCTAAAGTCATACTTTAACTTTCTGATTATTGATAAATAAATAGTGTTATTTGTTTCTACTTAAAAGTTTGATTTAAAGCTAAATACATGAGTAGTCGTTGTCTGGAAGTAGTATAACAAATAAGTAAATTTTCATAGCCACACATTATGTACATGCAACAGAATAGGTTGACAAATTATTGATTTACCTACAAATTATCAAAAGTTATAAAGCTATACGTTTCGCTTAGCATTTAAATGCAACGGGTTGTATATCGTATTTATAAATGTTGATGTTAGTAATAATTATCAACTTGTTTAAATGTAAATATAATAAATGCAGGTTCTTAGTGAAGTAAAGTTTTAGCTTAATTTGGAAGTTTCATGAAGTCTGTTCGAATGCTGGTCAACAGGAACATTTCCAGAGTACAAAATATTGATTAGCTTTGTCATATAACATCACCTGAAGTTTAAAAAAAACATTCTCCTGCTTACAAAAAAGTTTAATAGTAGACATAACTCTTTTGTGTATCATTTTTTAGCTACGCTAATGCGAAATTGTCATTAGAAGCCAGCCCTACGTTACTAGTGCTGTTAGGCAGTTTAAGTTTGTCGCTGAGATACTCTAAATTTATGTTACATTCTAGTCAAGCCTCTTTATTAAGATATAACTAAAATATTGAGCTATCTGATATCTTCTGTGGGATTTGAAATGATATCATCCAATACTACGGCCTTAGATACTAAGTTTGAGCTTTTGCCTCTCAGTTGACCAGTGAAATTGAGATATTTACAGTGATTAACAGTACACACAATATTAAGTCGTTTAGACTGGTTATCACACTGTAACAGGATCGCTGTAATTCTTTTAAGCACTATAGGACTAACAAAACATTGATCACTATGCAATAAATCAATGCAAGTCTCAGTCATCTAATCACATATCGCTGTTAGTTTTTGATAGTGGAACAATTAAGTCAACAGAGGTAATCCCCAAAATAGCATTGAAAAAGTAATTCTGTTAATTGATTGATTGTAATGTCAAATTATCCTTTATATTACACTTTCTATTACATACCATATCTTGATATACTATACTGATTAGGATATAAGAGTGTCAGGAAAACTCTCTGAGTGATAAGAAATAAGATATAATTGCTTCCAATAAACTGTATGAAATCAATGCTTGATAGTTGTCAAAAAATGGAATAACACTCAAATATATATTCACTTATAATTGATTACAAAAATATAAGATTATACTTACCGTCCTAAAATTTTACTAACACAACCATGTGAAACTCTTAATTGTCTACTAATATCACATGGTCGGACATTTTGATTGGCCAATTGAACTATTTGTTGTCTAACTTGATTTGGTAATGGACGTCCATTGACAAAAACACCTCCAAGTTGATTTATTCCACCATGTCCTTTGAAAAAAAAATAAACAAAAAATAAAGACATAGTAAACTACACTCACTTAGTATTGTTCTACTTGAATCTTCACATTGATGTTTAGAACTGCAATTGATCAGTCTCTTACTGACATATGTACATCTTGTTCAGATTGCCTCGATATATTATTAAGTCACAGGATCAGGTACATCCAACTGACCATTCCCTAATAGGACGAAACGAGCGTCCTGGATTTCACTGCTAGCCACTATCCATCTTTGTTTATAGTAAACTACAGTCTATTATTTTTAATAGTAGTGTCAGTAGTATATATTTTTAGTTAAAGGTATTTATAAAATTTGTACAAAACTTTTTCAAAATTATTTTTCTGATTCAAAACAATTTTATTCAATGTTGGATCTTCCAAAACCTCAGTCTGTAACTAGTGCCTCACTTCATTGTATTATGATAATCAACATGACAGTACTTAGTAAATGGTGTTTATTTTGGAAAAACTCTAATTTTCAACTATACAAATAAACTGTTTCAATGGACCTTCTCTTTATTGAATTAAACTTTTGAATTTGAACTTCTTCAATTCTTATATGTGTTTCTGGTTTGCCTGCTATCATATTGCTATCAAATTAAAGTATTATTCGATTATTATGTATGTTATCAAATTTTATCTAGGAATGATTCTACCGAAGACCTTGGATACGGTTTATTCAGTAGCCACTATTTATTTGTAAAGAAATCATTAATTCACATAGATTGATATGAATCATCGTGCATAATGTGCAAATAAACGATTTGAATTCACTAAAATCTTCTATATTAAGCTGCTTTCCGTAGACTTTAATTACTAGACATTATTCATTACAACCATCTTGAAGTTATTGTATCTAGTTCAATTACGTTAATGAATAAATACATTTTGATTTACATTGTAGTTCATTCTTATCTCAGTTTAGTTTCATCTGGACAGATAATTCTAGTGCTTTTACTTTACTGCTTATTGTCGACAACATCAACCGTTTAGGGTTGTGGAGATTATTAAGTTATTGATTGAAATCATGATCGACTGATGTTTGGCCATTATTGAAAACCTGAAATCACTGGAAGGCCGTTTTATCCTATTTTGGAACTCCTCAGCAGTGCGCATCCACGATCTCGCTCGCAGGATTCAAACCCATGGCCTTCAGTCTTGCGTACGAACGCTCAACATACTAGAGAGAGAGACAGATAGATATCTCAGTACAATGGAAGATGGTCGCGAAATTTCGTGGATTGGTTAAGGTCAGACATTAACACCATTGGATGCCGGCTCATTGGTCTAGTAGGTTAAGCGTTCAGTGGTTCCAGGTTTTCAATGGTGATCTAATATCGATCGGTTCATGATCTCAATCAACAACATCAACTGTATCAATTCCAGACTTGATACATATTTTTGTTTAGAAATCGTCCAAAAATCATAAATCGGATATAAAAAACATTTGAAGTAAAATACATGAGTATTTGAATGTATATGTTCCCATAGTTACAAGATTTGTGAAAAAAAATCATCCCTCTCAAACAATCTAACTATAATATTAAACAGAAATAAATACTTGAGGGAAGAAAACTCGACATTTACTTTTTCAAACAGTGAAAATGAGTGTTTACATCATAACAATCGAAAATAATAATAATAATAATAATAATAATAATAATAATAATAATAATGACAACAATAATACTAATAATAATAGTAACAATAATAATAATAATAATAATAATAATAATAATGTAGGTAGATATTTCTACATCTATTTATTCATTATTATGCCATACATTCTCTAGGTTGTTTCCATCTAGCATCTTGTCTTCAAGCATTATATATGTATATATATGTAGTGCTCTTGTATGAGATAATTTGTTATGCTCCATTTATAACCGACTCTGATTTTCTTTTCTTGTTTTCTTTCATTTGTCTCATTCAACTGTTTTGCATATTTCTTTTTGTTTTTGTTGTTGTTATTATTGTGGTCGTCGTCGTTGTGGTAGTTTCAGTTGTTTTCTACCTGATAACATTTAATTTATTTAGATAAACTTTCTTTTCCCCCACCGAATTTATGTGTGTTTGTGAATGTGTATAGAGAAAATAAGAGTTGTCTAGTGATTTACTTGTTAATATATAATCAGCTACATTTATTTCTGTTAGCAGGTTCGCACGCACACACACACACACAAATAGGAACATAAACAACATTTCTGGTTATAGTTATGCATTTATTTAGTAGCCAGTCGTCAATCCTTATACTTTTCCTATATTTTATTAATTGTGAAAATAAAAAAACTGAACGAATTCGAGAGAGATTTTAAAAGAATGACAAGAAGATAAATAGATTTCAAAGTGAATGCATGACTTAACATAAGTATAATAATAATAATATCAATTGTAAATTAATCGAATCATTCAAATAATTCTAATGAATGTTATCATTATCATATTTGTATGCTTATTTGTTTATATATAATCTTCAATTTTTTCCGTGCTTCGTAGTGCTCTTGCGCACGAGACCACAGTTACCGGGTTTGAGTCCCTTAGGTGCGGGATGGTGGATGCTCACTACCGAAAAGTTTCACTTCAGGACGAAACGACCGTCCAGTGTTTCCACCTTTTCAATAGTGGTCTAACATTTAACGATTTATGATCTCAATCAAAATTATCTAAAGTGAATTGGTTTAGAATCTTCGATTGAATTGGAACCGTTCAATTTGACATATTGATCACATTTAAGTTATGTGGTGACTAATAGTTGAAGTCAGGATATTCGTTTTGTTGTATTCGGGACTCGTCATTTGAATTTACCTATTTCCCAATGTGGAGTTTCACAGTGATATTTGTAAATAAGTGTCGTCATTGAGAGAATCCATTTAGAATGTTGATACGCTATTGGGGATTCATCAATTTCAGAACTTGACATAAAAATAACAATTCACAATTCATATATGTTATATAATCTATAAATTATTTGAATTCAGTAGCTCAGTGGATTACACATAGATGTTTACAGCTTATGATACTAGATTCGATTTTCAGTGTGAACATGAACACAAGAACTCTGGTGAATTGCAACGAAGCTTAATATGTGCTGAAACACTGATCTTTATATCGACTTCTAGCTATAATCCATATGTAATATGAACATAGTGATTGTAATCTATCAAAATATTAGTAAATTACTCAAATTGTAATTCATTTCTGAATACTAATTAGATCACTAAAATCAATTTTGAATGGTACAATTTAATCATTTGATTTCATCATGGAAGATGACATGGGCTTTACTGTTTAACATTTACATCAAAATCTGAGGTAGTTGAATGTTTGAAGTTGATCAAACGTTTGAAGACAGAAAGTCTAGCAGCTTACCATTTGCTCTTATAGGACGAGCTCCTGTAGTGTAAGATACATAGGTCATAGCTATAGCTCGCTTTCAATACGGATATTTAAATTTAAACCGTTTTTATATTAATTATTCATAAAAATTAGGTACTAATTCACAATTGCTCTTTTACTGAATATTCAACTAACCACTCTTCCTTTGATTATTAAAGATCATTAACATTGTAGTGTAATATATAAAAAGAATGATTCAATGAAACTATACCTTTATTTCATCTCAAAGTAAAAAAAAAGAAGATAGTCAAATGATCGATAATTAGAGCAATACGTTCATTAAAAGTTAATCAGTCAGTTACAAGGTAGGATCAAGTTGCCATACATTATTAGCATAGCAAGACGAAAACCGGATTCATATAAGCAGTTTATTCAGGGATGTAATATGTAAAAGAAAGATTTTATGTTAGGATATAGTATAGAAAGAAATGAATACAGTTTATAAATATTGGCTTTTACAAAATATGGTTTATCTGAAATCATGATATCTAAGATCTAAGCCACTTACTTGTATCTTGTTTTTAGATGTAACCGTAAATTATCTTAACCTTTATAGTCAATACTAATAATTAGCATAAAAATAACTTTATAGAATAATAATTGTAACATTGTACTATGTGTATATGAATGTCACATTAGATTTAAGTATCAAAATATTGGTTAACCACAGATTATTTTATTCATGGCTTCTAAAAGAACTTAAAATTCATATGATCCTTTTTATAGACTACATGATTTTGATCAATAGATTCCACTACAAAGGAACTAGAATGTTTCCATTTTGACTAATGTAAAAATATCAGTATAGGGTTCTGGAGATTATTTGGTTATTGATCGAGATCATGAATCGATTGATGTTAAACCAGTGGAGCTAATCCGTGTCTAGTAGAGACAGGTATCTACTTCAGTAAATTGAAGATGGTCAGGCAATATCGTGGATTGATTGAGATCAGGCATTAACATCATTGGATGCCGGCTGAGTGGTCTAGTTGGTTGGGCGTTCGCGCGCGATACTGGAGTCCATGGGTTCGAGTCCTGCGAGCGAGATCGTGGATGAGCACTGCTGAGGAGTCTCACAATAGGATGAAATAACTGTCTAGTGCTTCCAGGTTTTCAATGGTGGTTCAACATCAATCGATTCATGATCTCAATCGATAATGTGAAAATATATGATTATTATGTAATCTGAAATTGAGGCCATGACATTTGTTAATCTCTTGTGCTGATGAACATATAAAGTAAAGTACAATTTTTACTTACTTTCTGGATGATTATTGATGGACTGAATTTGTGCGTATGGTTTCAGTATAAAGTCTAAGGAGCATATAACGAGTGAAATGACAAATCGACTGAAATATCTAACTTCAGAAAATATTATGACTAATATAAATGGATATAGAGTATGGACATTGCAACAAATACAAATTATTTTGAAAGGGATAGCATAAGTGTACACAAAACTTCACAAAATAAGACTTTACTTCACTTAATCTGTTTGTTGGACAGAATATATATTAACCAACTAGCATTATTTCTTTGATCATGGTAAAATTCATTTTTTACCTATATATATATATATATATATATATATAT